GGTGGTAGCCATAGGAAGGGTCAAGACCCGGGTCTTGGAGGCCTACGAGGACCTCCTAGAAACATTGAGTAGGGACCCATGGGGACGCCCATACAAGGCGGTGTTAGGGAGGCTCCGCCCGTGGGCGCCTCCGGTCACTGAGGTCCTAGACTTCTGGAGGAGGATGAATGCCCTGTTTCCGGTAAGGGGGACTGGACGGCATCGTCCCTCAGTATCGGACCAAGTTGACTGGTCCGAAGACTTGGGGGTGACGAAGGTGGAGATGGCCGGGGCTTTCCGGAGACTCGGGGCTAAGAATACGGTCCCGGGTCCCGATGGAATCCCTGGCCGAGCCTGGGTTTTGGCCAGGAGCGTCTTTGCGGACTCCCTCAGACAGGTGTTTATAGCCTGCCTAAGGGAGGATGAATTCCCCTAATCTGGAAGGAGGCGCGTCTGGCCCTCCTCCGGAAAGCCGGGAGGCCCGCGGAGTCTCCCATCGTGTACCAGCCGATTTGCTTGTTGGACGACGTGGGCAAATTGTTCGAGCGAGTGCTCGCGGCCCGCCTCGTCCACCACTTGTCGATGGTGGGTCCCGATCTGGCAGAAAGCCAGTACGGTTTCCGGCAGAGTCGATTCGCAATGGACACTGTCCTACGTGTTAAGGCCTTGTCGGAGCGGGCGACTTCCCGGGGTGGGGTGGCATTGACCGTAATGTCAATATTGACATTACCAATGCGTTTAACACCCTGCCTTGGGAGCATATAGAGCAGGCGCTCGAGCGCCACTAAGTGTTTGTCTATATGAGAAGGATAATCGGGTCCTACCTGAGTGACAAGTGGATAAACTTTACCGGCCGGGGTGGCGTTGTGCCAAGATGGGGGAGTGCGTTCTCTGGAACCTAGGCTATGACGCGGTTCTGCGGGTCTTTCTCCCCGCAGGCCTACACATCGTCTGCTATGCGGACGATACATTGATGGTGGCTCGCGGGACGGACTAGGGAGGGGCGGTGCGCTTTGCGGTGGAGGCCGTGCGGCTCGTCGTCAGCAAGATTCGCGACCTGGGTCTGAGGGTGGCCGAGGATAAGACCGAGGCAATATGGTTTCACGCGCCTCGCCGGCGGCCCCTTCTGACCCACGTCAGGATGGGAAGAGCCCGGATCAGGGTTGGGTCCCTGATGAATGAAATATTTGGGACTCATCCTGGACAGTTTCTGGCGCTTTGCCACCCACTTGGAGCCAGTGGGGCCCAAGTTGTTGGGGGTGGCGAGAGCATTATCCTGCCTTATGCCCAAGGGGGGCCCGTGGTGAGGACCCGTCGCCTTTACGCGGGGATGGTCCACTCGGTAGCCTTATACGGGACCTCGATATGGGCTGTGCCCCTGTGAGCATCTAGAGCGTATTCTGGAATAATTTTTTACAATATAATTTACAAAATAATTTTTTAATTAATTTTCGCGTTTGCAATAGTGTATTTTCGAGAATGACGTGACATATGCGTATTTTGCTCTGCGTATTAATGTCTCTTTACTTCCTCAATAACACGCTTAGAATTTTGAAAATAATTTTACTATAGTCCAAAGTCGCGTTCATAACGTTGGATCCAACTTAGCGTCGTGGGAAATTTGGATTCTCGGGCCGAAATCCGGTCATATTACTGCATGTTATTTAGGTTATATAGTATTAACATCTAGAGCATATTCTGGAATAATTTTTTACAGTTTTTTAATGTAATTTTCACGTTTGCAAATATGTATTTTCGAAAATATTGTGACGTGTTGCGTATTTTGTTCTGCATCGTGTCTTGGATGACAATGTGTGTTAATGTCACTCTACTCCCTCAGTAACACGCCTGAGAGTGTTGAAAATAATTTTCCAATATCTCAAAGTCGCGTTCTTAACGTTGAATCCACTATATTTCATCATATCTCACCAAATTTTTCCGTTAAATTTTAAGCTGAGTTTCGAATTGATGTGTTTGGAGTCTCTGCTAAACTATTAAGCCGAGTTTTGAAACGAGTCGTTTTGTCTCTGGTATTATTCGTATTATTATAAATTACCAATTCTAATAAGATGAATTGTAGGATAGATAATGTCCTTTGAGTCACCTTGATATCTTTAGTGATTGCCGGGAAATTCCCGAAAAATGCAATCTGTAGTAAAATCTCTGTCAGCGACGTCGAAAAGTACGCACGCTTCCACGGCTTATTTTACGCACTGTTATTAATAGTATTATTATAATATTAACCTTAGGTATATACACACTTATTTTTTGCATACGTAGACACTGGGGCCTGAAGGACCCCAGCTACTTTTTTTATTATAACTCTAGTAAAAATTACCATATTTTGATTTTTTTCCCGATTGTTAATAGACTAATAAACATATATTTATTAAGAATTAGGATTAAATTGTAATAAGCATCACATAATAACGTTGGAATTACTCATAAATGCAAAGGAAACGACATTTTATTTTAATAGTTTGAAAAATGCATATTTTTTTTTATAATAGAGATAATCGGAAAAAGTTTTCAGATTTTTAAATGACATATTTCAAGGTACAAAGAAAAAAATCATCGCTTAAATATTGGAATATTATCATAAAAATTACAAAGTCCAAAATTGACGATTTTTTATATTTTTATTTTCTGGCGGTTTTGCAGACAAGTATAAAAGTTAGGATTTTTGTTAAAAAATACAAATTCAATAACTTGTAATGCATGTTAATTTATAAAAAAAAATGAAGAATACAAAATATTAAAAAAAATAAATATTATGTCATATCATCAATTTATTTAGTACACAACAAAAATCGATGAGACTTGCATCGAGGAATTTTGCCAACAGAAACAGAAAAATGTCAATAATTTAAAAGCAGTAAATAACATTCACCCAACAAGGCAGTATTATTTTTGGCGTTTAGTCCGTGTGTTTCTGTCTCCCAATAAAAATTATTTTTTTTTACATTACTTATTTAATCTAACATTTTTAGAATATATATTTACACTATAAACTCGAATAAAATTAATTACAAAATATATTTGCAAAAAAATTGCACGAAGTACACACTGGGGTCTGGGAGACCTCGGATTTACTTTACGTGTGAATTATCATAAAACCAACAGCAATTGACTGCTCCGAAAGTTGCTATCTACAGAGGACATTTTAACTTTTTTTTATACGGCGGTCATATCCTCCTTACTTATTCTCTTTATTAATATTAAAGTTTCAATTTTTGCCTGGGGTCTCGGAGACCCCAGTGTGTATACGAAGGATTAGTATTATTGTAAACTTTGAATTCCAACAGGATAAATTGTGGAGAACATAGTTTCCCTTGAATCATATCGATACCTTTTGTGGCAGCCGAGAAATAAGCAAAAAATATGAGCGCATGTTTAAACTTGTATATTTATTTATTGTTTCATATTGTCCAGTTTCCAAATCCTTTTTTCTTATAAAATTACGCAGAACGCAGCACGAGAAAGATGAGACTGATAAGAGATGATAAGTTCGCCGTTAGCTCACTTCGTACTTACGTCGCGCGGTCCGCTTATCAATGGTGAGACAAGAACAGAGCGATTAGACGCTTGTCCTTTTTTAACTTACTATCATTGTACGGAAGTACAACAGGCACAAACCACGCGCAATTTATCGTTACCACCGCGAAAATACGCCTAATGAACGTAGTAAAGGCTTACTTTGTTAGATGGCGTCTCGAAAATGCGCCTAATAGAGTCCCTATAAGGGCGCGTTCAGATTCCCTATCTAGGTGCACTCTAAAAGTGCGTTCCTACTTAGCGCGTCACGCGTCGCGTCTTCCTTCGCGGACCAATCAAACTGTCCCATTTTATTCGTCGTAAAGTTAGGCAATTATATGGGACGATTTGATTGGTCGGCGAAGGATGACGCAACGTGTGACGCGCTAAGTGGAAACTCAGCTTAATACTAGAAGTGCTATAGTATATGTAACATATACTATAGTGTTTCTAGTAATAGAATGCACCCGGATGAGAAATCTGAACGCAGCTTAAGATAGAATTTGGCCACGTGCGTGGCTTCCTTATTGGCCGAAACAAGGTTTGGAAAAACATGATAGAACCGATAAAAATTGTCATAGGAAGTGGGATAATTTAAAAAATAAAATAAGAAAATTATGAACAATCAGTAGTCTTTTTTATTAAACTCTAAAATGAATAAATAAAAACATAATTTTGAGTGTAAACTTGAAACATTATTAATCTGCAGGAAGCAAATACAGTGAAAAGCCTTTCTGATAATAGTTCTTGTATCATGGAACATAACACGTTGGCATTTTGAAATCTGAAAATTCATATTGCACTATTTTATACAATTGCCTTTTTAGATATTATTCAGAATAATATGAGGTTATGATGACAATTTATATAATGAATACAATTTTTTTTATAATATCACAATGGCCTACGTCACGCTGTAAGCGGACCAAATCTTGCATTTCCACAGACTTTTATAGGTGCGTTCAGGGAGCTCGCTATTAGCGCTATTCAGCTCTACCATGTCATTCTATCCTTGTTGTATATCTAAGGAGCAATAAAGATAGAAGAACGCGGTAGCGTTAGTAGCGTGATCCCCGAACGCACCCTATATAATTACTAGACTGCTAACTCCCTTATATAGCGCTATATAAAATTGACCCCGAAAAGTATGTATCACGCACGGGAAAAAGGCATCTGCGCATGCCTGAAACTGGTGTTCCAGAAGAAGAGGGGATATAAATGTAATATGACCGATGCCGCCTACTTAAATAATTATGTACGTACAGAGTGAAATACGTCAAAGTGAAATACGTTACAATAAAAAATTTGTAAAAATAAGTGATTGATCAATTGTATACCTACATCAGAGTGCAATAATGCCTAAAACGAGATGCTACATTGTGCATGTTGGAACACCAAATAGGCGCATGCGCGAGATTTCTGTACATATTTTTCGGAGTTATGTACTGAGTCGGAGTTAGAAGTCTAGTAGTATATAGAAGTCTGTGGGCCAGACTCTATTTTATAGGGACTCTAGTGCTTAGCTCTGGCCACTAAAATCAGGCTGGTGGCCGCTCTCAGGCTGCTCTCTGTTTTTAGCTGTTTTACATATATTCAACACGTAAGAATACATGGACGGAGTGCAAAGTGCAATTATGGACGAGGGGCTGTGAAACCCAAGGGGTAAGAGGATTACATCGTTGCGGCCATTATGATGTCGGAGGTATGCATCTATTGTCTATGTATAAAAACAGCGATCGTTAGGCTTCACCCCTTAGGCTTCACCCCTGCGACAATTCCATGTATTCTTACGTCCATGTTCAACACATATTTATTGACTTATTTTACTAAAATTTTATTTACATGTTAGCCGAGATTCAAACCCATTAGGTGCAAAGAGGTCGTTTCACGACACCGTTAGATGGCGATAAGCATTCCGTTAATTGTATTTTAAGAAATTTAGCACATTGGCTGCATTTAGAAACATAGCTGATTAGTGAGCGGTCAGTGATTATTGATCCTTACTGTTGAATCCCTAACTTTAGACCAATTACGTTGACTAATTACTCAACCGTTGTGTAACCGTTGTGTAATCGTTATGAACGCACCCATTAGATATTTATATCGGTCGATATCTCTCCTTCCAACTGCAGGTCGAACTTTGCTAGAAAATAAGTATATGAGAAGAGGTTATATTTATCGTACTTGATGAAAACATCGCGTTTTAAATAAATATTGAACAAGTAAATATTGAATAATATTGAGCTTTGTGATATTTAAAGCTGCATTTTATCTCACAGGTCAAATTATATTTATGCTTTGGTCATATCAGGTGCTTGATCAATGTGCTAAATTTTTATTTTTATGACATACAATATTTACTTATTATCGGTGTTATGAGTAGATATTTATTATTTACGGTCTTTCAAAGGGAATCTTAAAATAATTGTAACTTATTATAGATTACAGGAATAATCAATTTAATACGTATAAATCTATATAAACTTGGATCTCTCTCTCTTTTTCTCTCTCTTTCTCTCCCTCTTTCTCTCTCTCATTAATAAACGGCGTGATATATACCAGAAGCCGTGATCCATTGCGGTAAGCTGCCATCGTCCTGGTTCATTAGCTCGTTTCCGACTGGCAGTCGATCGGAACGCAGCTGCGTGCCGTACATCGAAGGAATTATTCTCGTTATAGAGGTTACGCGCGTACGGGTTATGAAATGCTAGTTGATGCACCGTCAGACGATATCATCGATGAGAATATCCGGTGAAACTGATTAAAGCCTTGATACAAATGTCAACTGATATTAAATTAAATCGATCTGACAATCAATGCATGTGAAATGTCACCGTGTTGTAATACAATAGTTTGCTCGCATATTTAGAAAGGACTGTTATAGTCGGTAAATTATTGGGAGAAATTGGAGCTCTCCGCGTGAATCTCAACGAGCGAGAGAGCTATGGAAGTAGCAGAAACGACTTGTTTCGCTTTTAACGTCGATGCATTGGACGTTCGAACTTTTTAACGTGCTTGGCTCATAAAGAGAATTGCACGCGGATCTCAACATCGGATCGAAAAAAGTGCAATTTCGACAACTGGATAACAAAGGACGCGTTGAAAGACTGAAGAAAGTAGGATTCAATGATTCCTAACCTCTTACCTTGACGGAAGTCAGTTTCAGCCAAATCGGCGAGACTCACAAAAAAACTTAAAGTAGATCACTCGGCGACCATTGTTCAGTGTCTGCACGATAAGAGGGAAGAATACAAACACACACATACATATACACTCTGATATTAATTGCACATCGATATCCGGCGTGAAACACACGCCATTCCTGTTTGTTTTGTTTTGTTGTCGTTGTAGACTAGAGATTTGCTGATAGTGGATTGACGTCAATTGAAAAACGACTTGAGACGCGCCACTCGATTCATTTTCGAGACGACGGTTACCAACGTTAGCCCAAGCACGTTTCTCCACGGCCTCATAAGACAGGAATCCATCTTAATGGTGTACCTAACGCTGTGCTATCGCTTTACTTGTGACATAACCACCCCATCGGCATCGTTATTATCCTTCATCCATCTTACATCCTCCTCGAAGCCCTCTTTCCATATACGCTCCTTACGCTAGATATTTGACGTGTAAAGGACTGACGTTACATTATGAATCAAAGATGTCACCTCGTAGTTTTCAGCGTTGCCGCCGCGCGCCGATATATTTTGCACGACGAAGGTATTTCGGCATTTTTGTAGCATATTTTAGCTCTGTTAGTATAGTAAATCGGGTATTTTCTACACGGAAAAATTTCAATTTGTGTAACTAAATGTAGACCAGACGAAAAAATTACTGACAAAAAATTATATCTTTGTTACTACGATCGAAAACACTCATCTAAATATTCAGTTGCATTAAAACTCGGTTAAGATCAATTGGCTGAGAACAATTGACTGAGAGTAAACTTCCTACAGAAATTTTTTTATTCCTAAAACCAAGTTTTCGCCGAATTTTCATCTGGTTTCCGTTCAGTTTCACAAATTGAAATTGTTTTATCAAGCGACATGGTAGTGTCGCGAAACAATGCGGCCTACCGTGTATAATTACGGCTTTACTTGAATATATAAGATACCGATAAGATGTATATTAATTACGATAACTAAGTGTAATTTTTACAATAATCGATAATCCGTGTTATTCCAAAAACTATCCGAAAGACTTCCAGAGAATAATCGTAAAACTCCGAATATCCGAGTAATACTTGAGGTCTACATATCCGAACATTGACATCACTAGTATATCTAGTAGAGGATAAAGATGTCCTCAGCCGTCGTTTGATTAAATGAAGAAGAAACGATTAATTTTTGAGATAGCAGCATACCCGATCCCCCGGAATTATTGAAAAGGATCGCCGTTTTGCCCCGTATATGCCCGTCGTATATCTCCGCAAACGGCGAAAGCCGGTCAGACTTCCAATACGGGTCGAGCGTAGGTCTTTGGAGGGTGAGAAAGACCATTTCCTGTTACTGCCAGCTTCAGTGGATCCTGCGGAGTGCCGAGTGCGCGCAGTAATAACGTCCTTTGTCGCGGGTACGCGTAGTCGGCCGGTTGACGGCAATCCACTGCTTCGTTGTTTCCGTCTGGATCGTAATTCGCAAACGATCGGGAGTATGCAATTACACAAATCACGCGTTCGAGTTTGTTCCGAGCAAAGGAACAATCTCGACGGTAACGAGGCGCCTGTTTAATCCTGCGCTAATGCAACGCGTCTTACGTTGTTTGTACGCCGCCGGATCACGCGCGTGTAGCGGAATATAGCGGTGTAACGGCCGCAAGTATTGGTGCAACGGCCTTATCGAGAATGAACGAGATTGTATATGAAGCTAAATACGCCACGGTATTCTCTCTCTTGTGGTTCCAGCAAAATTTATCTTTTGATAAAATTTATTTGGAGATTGACAATACGGGATAAAACATTATGGAGACATTTCTTTATCGATTTGTAAGCGCGAATCGAGCATCTTGAGATTGCCCATAAACGTCCACGTGCTGCTTTATGCACGGCTGCATGCACCGTAATTCATTATACTAACCCTCTATACCACCGCACGTATCTTGTTATCTGGCAATCGGTCGAGCTGGCCGTATCGGAGTAGCTACCGTTATGCCTGAAGATAATAGGATTCCTAGACACAGTGGATACAGTAAGGATTAAGATCGGATCCCGGAATGACCAGTATGGATTAGAACATTGCCAAGACAGAGATCCACAATGTTGCTCTGGATTAAGGCTACGATTTATGCGCGGCAATCAAGTGATTTGACTATTTAAAAAGTTTGACTTTGAATCAGAGCAATTTCACGATTCAAAACGACAGACTTGGGACAGACCCAACAAACTGGATATCGAAAAAGTTTGTTTGTCCCTGAGTTTGTCATCTTCGCCTGAAGTCACGTCGAAGGTCACCTCTTTGTGCTGTGAAGATTCAGGAGTACTTGCCTTTGCGAAGAGAATAATTGCATAATAGCGAGTCGTAGACGCATAATACAATCGGCGAAAAATATTCCGATGACATAATTAAAAGTTGTCCGGAGAATCATGACTGCGTCTCTTCGCCATTCTACTCTGCCCAGGGGAAGCAATTTAAAACTGATTTCTCGCCGCGATATCAGAAAGTTAGGTAAAATCGTGTTAAGTGGTTTTAATTACTTAGAAAACTTGGACAGCCCCAGGAAGTTTCCACGTCGCTCAACAGCGAAGTGGATGCACCCGGAAGCAGAGCCTTCGGGATTCCACCCTCCTCGCGCCCATCCCACCCCACAGACCTCCACCTTCTACAACGCCCTCGACTACCAACCATTCGCATCGCTCCAGTGTTCTTGCCTTTAAACCGACCAATTACACGTCTATCTAATCGATCGAGGGATTCTTGAAATTGAAGAAACTTTATTAATACCGCGAGCCGGATTGATGTGTTTTCAACGACATCTGTTCTCATGTTGACGTCACTCCGCAACATTTTTTATAGTTGTCAGTAACAGTAGATAGAAACGATTATGGGGATCATTTGTCTTCGCCAAACGAGCAACTTGCGGCGAATAGATCATTATTAAGTGGCGCGATTATATTTTGAGCGATGATGTCTCTGATCTTTTTCATTTCCACCGGGATTTGATACGATCCATTTCTAGCGGATTAATGAAATCGAGAACACTGTTCTCTGATATCTGAATTATATGATACACAAATTGATATCGGATAGGACAGAAATGCGAAATGGGAATACGACGGGTGTAAATTGGTTCGCCATGGAGAGTGTCTGTAATCAAACGCAGTTGACACTCTCGGCGGGAGAGCGGGATGGCGGAGTGAGATATTTCGAGTCGAGGAATGGACAAGTGATGCCGAATGGGCGCTTTAATTGGAGCTGGTGGTTGGCCGGAGATACGGTCGCGATGATAGATGCGAAGAGCCGTGGGCAAAGTGTTTATAACTGGTTGTTTTAGCGGCGATGCTGAGCCGAGCCAGCGACGCCAACGCCGACGCCCGACGCCGACAACGATGGCGACGTCGTCCGGAAAAATTCATTGCGGGAATTATTCATTCCTAATGCGAGTCTCGGCTTCGCCTGCTGCTGCTGTTGCTGCTGCTGCCGCCACCGCCGCTCCTCGTATTCTCTCCTCTTTCTTTTTTTCCTCCAACGGAACAGAAATTAAAATGTAACGACTATCCCTCCAGTGGCTCCGGTTCACGATATTCGGAGTTGTTTCTCCAGATTTGCATAGCAAAATAACGCCGAGGTACCGCTATATGCCGTTTGTCAGTATTGCTCAGCGATAAATATTTATCATAATCATAAACAAAGAATAGATGCAAAAAGATTAGAGATCGCAAAGGTGATGATGCTCAGCTCGCATGAATAGAGATAGTCCTCTTGATTCGCTAGAAAAGTTCATTTCCGACGTTATGAAACTCTACTTTCTCCTTCGATATACTCGAGCCCGCTTGAATAAAGTTAGACAAAAGTTACGATAAACTTCAGCGTTACCGATTGTTTGTTGTTTCTACGATTCTCGAGTAATGAGAGAAGAGTCCCAGTAAACTAAGTGTTCTTAACGTATTCCGTCTAAAGCGAATGAACCAAATAGATATTGCAGTCCACAGCAGATGGTCCAAACGTAGTGCGGAATTGCGGTTTAATCCAACGCCAACCGTACGAGTGTCAGCTCGGAGAAAACGAAACGGAATTGAATCTAATGCGCTACCCTGAATCCTTCATGAGAAGCTTCTACGCGCCGCTCAGATCCAACTGTGTCTCGCCCCCGTCAGACCCCGTCCTCCACATCCGCCACCCCCGTAGAAATACATAATTCACGAGAATATTTGAATAGTGTTTTACACTGCTTACAGCTTGTACTCGTAGGAAACTTCGTCGTAGGACTTCTGCGGCTGGTAAGTAGGTACTAATGCTCTTATCGTTAACGATTTCACGCCATTGTGTCGGATTGTATCCGTGAAAATTGAATATCCCGCTTGGTGCTGTTGTTTCCGCCACGAACGCAAGAGAGAAACTCTCTACTAAGCACAGCTGGAGTAACGATGCCAACAAAATGAGTTTGGCATTAGAGTGATTAGATTCCGAAAGTAATGGAAGAATTTCAGAGATGTCGGGGTTCTACTGTTCAAGATAGTGAGGTTAATCAAATGTATCCAGCTTCCTGAATTGCTTTATTGAAGCGGTAGTCAGTTAGAAATAATAATAATTGTAGAACATTATTTCTTCTACAATGTCTGAGAAATTTTTATATTTATTATTATTTATTATTATCGATAAGGTGACCAGATATTTCAACTCAAAATTTTTGTAATGCTTTATAAACGTTAAAGAGTGGCCAAGGAGTAAAAAAGATAAATGAAATGAAAATATTAAATTTATATTTCGACATATTAAAATGTAAATGATATATTAAAATATTGTAGGTAAATTAGTTTACCTACAAATAAAAACTTATTATATACAATAAAAATAGTAATACACATAATATTATGATAAAACGATTATCATCATTACTTTAAAATTAAGAAAAAGAAACAAAGCTGTTGTATTTTTTTAGAAGTGAATTTTCTTAAGAAGATTTTTTTTGTTAAAAGCATTTAAAAAATTTAACACAAGTATTATAGTCAAGGTTGAATAATAACTAGTTAATTATCTTAGACATGTCTAACAAGGAATCCCATGTAAATGGTTCACTCTGATTTGGATGAGCTTGAAATATGTTGTAATCTAGACCAAAAGAGGAGATACGTATTTTTTTATACGTGCTCAAGCGGACTTT